AGAGAAAGGAGCGCCTTGTCAGGTTGACCATGTTCTTCCCTGAGAAGCCACCAAACAAATCAACAGGCATTCAAAACCCTCCGAAACGTATGGGGCGGCCGCGCTGGCATCCCTGCCGTTGCTGTTTTGATGTCTTGGTAGGGTGGATTGACTGGATCTGTGATCTTTCAGTCTTGCTCCGTTGTGGGAAACGCGAAAGCGAGTCCCTTTCAGTGATACCAAAGTGGGATTCCCTTTCCATGGCGGCTTGATCACTTAGGGATACCCTTGGCAAAAGAGGCTGGCTTTCCCCAACACCCCCTCCAATTTCCCACGGCCACGTGTTTTTTGATGGGCACTAGTACCCACCAAAAAAAACGCTGGCGGAGTGAAACTGGAGCGTCGCTGAGTCAAGGCGCCAATGACGGTCCATTGAGCCAGCTGCACAGCACATTACGTTGGTCCCCCAAAGCCGTTCTGCTGCAGATCGCGAGTTTCTGTGTTCCATGTCAATCTGCGGGGGGTAGGGCCAAACCCAATATTGCGGATCAGTTGGCGCACATTGGCAGTCAAGAGTCATCATTCAGCGGCACGAACCAGAACAGGCTCGGAGCAGTTAGGAAGCCTGGCGTTCCGGATCAAGCGTGAAGATGCTGCGCAGGGCGTAGTGTCAAGAGTGTGGTAAGTAGGGCACGGCCGATAGAGGGTGTGTGCCCTGCATGCGGTGAATGATTCTGCAAATTCTACAGCGATTCCAACACCTGAAATGAAGAATCCCGAAGCAAAGGACTCACATCATGCTGAGCTCGTTTTACACCGGTCACCATAGTACACGCACATCTGAGCCCGCACTGCCAGAAACGTACAAGCCTCACAAGAAACAAACCTGCATGGGCTAGTGGCTTGACTCATGTCGGACCACTTGCAAGCAGTCTCAGCCACTGCTCGCTGTAAGCAATCCTACATGTTGGGAACAAAACATGTCCCCTGCAATCCAGCCTGGTTTTCTTGCGACTTCCCTGAAACCCATAGTGAAGACCTCAGTCTTGCTTTCTAGTCTCCACACGCTGCCATTCCCACCCGCACCAAACAAAAAGTAGACAAAATAAACACATATGCATATGTATAAATGTATATGTGTATATACATGCACCCCCCCCAAAAAAAAACAAAACACAAAACGTGCCAGCTGCTTATGTAAGGGAAGTAAGGTCATTTAGATAAATGTTGCGAGAATTGCGCTCATTTTGACCATGTTGGCAGACTTGCACAAATGATTTACTAAGCCTTTGCCACCCATTTGAATAGTAGCTGCTTCTACTTTCTGATACATGTGTGTGCATGTGGCTTTCCTCCTTTAGATTCGTGCTCAATCATTTCATACATCTCCTAAGACATAATGTTTCATACATACATCTCTGAAGTTAATGAAAATGTCAATCAACAACCAAACACTTGCTTTCACAGAAATCGTGATGTTCTCGCGCATGTTTCTGTGATACTGTGTTCATTTCAATGTTGCTTTAGCAAAGTCTTCCTCAATAATGCTATCCTAATTCATATGACTGGGAAACATTTGTGTGAGAGTACCGGCGCCAGGGTATCAACAATAAAGCAACAAATGCCTCTTCTGCTTCGCCTACACATCTTCGATTCCTGATCTCAATTGATATGCAACTCCTCTTCGTCTGACAACTTACTAACCTGTGACAACACCTGCTACGTATCTTCCATCTCTTATCTGAACTCATATGCACATCTGTCAGCTCACAAACTTTGGCCAATACCAAAAATATCGGCTAAAATATGATAGTGGGTTTATTTAATTCATGTTGTAAGAATTTACTTGTCCAATATCCATGTGCTGAACTATCAACTGCATTTACCGCACACAATTCCAAAATCATAATGTGATGCACAACCAAACAATAATGACTGAAAGCAGACGCTTTTCGGCGTTTTAAAGCGCCTTCGGATCTAACGTTCAATATTCTCAGGACTATGGTTCTTGAATCTTGAACGCAGTATGGGGCCCCCAAACCGCTTTAAAGCGGTTTGATGCACTTTTGGAACTAAGATTCAAAATTCAAGATTCCCATCACTGTAGATCTTGAATCTTGAATCCAGTATGCGGCCCCCAAAACGCTTGAAAGCGCTTTCATCCAGGTAGCTCATGGATTCAAGATTCAAGAACAAGAGTCCTGGGATAGGGGTCCCAATCTTGAATCCCCAAGAATGATTTTAAAGCATTTTAGGTGGATAGAGGTGCAGTCAAATTTGCAAATGCAGGCTAATTAGATGGCCAACGTTGGGATCAAATTTGGGGCCTGACAAGGGGGGGTGGAAATCACGTGGGTTTGGGTTTGGGGGGGGGGGGTACCGTATGTATATATATATATATAAGTATATGTAGATGTATACGCGCATGGCAACATATGTAGTACAGCGTGCACAAGTAGAAGAGCATGTCGTTTGACAAGCAGACCCCACACCCCAAAGCGCCTTCCAAGGCGGAGACCTCCCGCTTTTTCTGCTCGAAGACCTGGGCCACCGGCGTGAGGCCATTCTTGCCGATGAGGCCGGGATTTTGGTCCAACGCCACCTGGCATGGCGGCTTGGCCCCTGGGCCAGTTCCACGCGTTTGGCAACGGAACCAAAAGCTCCTCCGCGAAATCCATTTACCAAATCGCTCGCCGAACCGTGGGGATTCCGCGGCAGCCTTAAAGGCCACCAGGTAAATGAACCCCAGCAGGCGCAGTACCACGGACTTGGTGAGCTGGAATGTCTGCAGTTCCGCAGGCGCCCTTTTCGGCCGCTCTTCAGCCTGATAGCCACAGAACCCATGGGCGAAAGCAGAAGGGAGAATTTGGAAGTGCAACCTTTCCTTGAAAATGAGTGTATCCCGGGGAAGGGCTATTTTTTGGGTAGCTTAAAAAGCATGAAGCCGACAGGAAAATTGGGGAACCACTGTGGTTTGGGATCTACCTTTTTCGGTTTCCTTCCATTTGTCTGAGGCATGGTAAGACTTGCGCATTTTGTTGGCTGCCGTATGGTCCAAACTGGGGTCGCCCATACGGTTGTCTACAGCTTTCACGGGTTTCCTACGGTATTTGTTGGGTTTCCTACGGGTGTTGTTGAGCTTCCTGGCCTCCTGAAAGCACGTCATGAATCCCATGATTCCGCAACCTTCATATCCCAAGCACTTGGGGCAGCACATGAACCAAACAAAAATCCTGCAAAATCCAAGAATCGCGCAAGATGAGGCTCCCCCGGATCTCTTCAAACAAGATCAAAAGAGGCAGCCCTTCGCCCTCCCCTCCCCCGAGAAAAAAATGAGCTTTCGCCGCACATGCTCGCTTTTTGGACATGTTGGCCTTGACAAAAGCTTCAGTTTCCCAATGCCGCAGCTTCTGCTCGCAAGGGCACCCTGACATGCCAGGCTCATGGGGGACAACTCTCAACATAACTTTATCTTCGCCTTGATGCTTTTGAGCTTATAACGCACCACGATGCACCATGAGCTGAACAAAATGAAACAAACAGCTTGCGCCCCGCCCAACGCATTGCGCCCCGGCCTCTGTAGCCTCGCTCTCAGCTTCGCCCTTCGCACCCCCGCGGCGCCGCATGGCCAGCGCGGGTGCGCGCCGAGCAAGGCTGTTGGTATCGGAAGCCCGCTAAATTTTGGTGGGCTTCATCACTTTTTAAGTGGTTGTTCCTTCAGGAGCCCTAACCGTTAACCAATACGTGATTTGCGTCACTCGTTGCTCCACGGTGGGCCTTCCCAATGGCTACTTTGTCGGGCAGTCACGACATGCCCAATCCTCAGTTCCTACGAACCGTGGTCCTACCAGAACCTTCTCAAGGAACACCATGGCGTAGCCGCTGGCAAAATGGGATCATGGCGTTGGTCAGATAGTTAATTACAACTGATCTGAAAAGTGTCTGCCCTGAAAAGGCACAACTGCTGCCGGAAATCATGAAAAAGGCAAAGACAATCACAATGAAACAACGTGCTGTACGAATAAACGTGATTCACGAACCTGATCACAGGTGAGCTCTTTTTGACCCCAGGTGAGATCGTAAGTTGCTCAGAATCTAGTTCTGCCAGTTTGCCCGCGCTGGTGGCTGAGCCCATGCTTGCGCCAAAGATGCCTTTCAATGACATGCCAAGGGCGTGTCATTCAGGCATCCCACAAACCATCCCCAAAGCATCCCCGCTACTCCCACGGATTCTCCTGCTGGTAACCACGTGAAAGTCTTTCAGTTTGGTGAGGAGCCATGACTGTTTCCACCAAATCACAACTCCCAGGAAAGAAGAGGTGCCTAATACATTGCACAATTTACGTAAAAGATGGGTTTGTCGTTTCGGGGCGCTAGAAAAAAACCCTTGCTATCATGAGCTTTGAAGCTCTTGGCAGGGTTGAAGGGACACAAAACATCTGGCCTCAGGATGCGAGAACAGCACTCATTGTTTTTAAGCTTGCCGACGGCCACGACATATGAAACACCCACCACGCTTGAGATACAGTGCGGCAAACGTCAATGCCAACGCGCACCTGATCATGGGTCCGCAAGTTCTTATCACCCAACTGGCTTTCGCCAGTTGACTCTGATAACGCCATGCATCCTGGACAATCAACGATTGCTAAGTGATTTCACAGCAAGACATATTGGCCCAGCTTTTGACATGCCTGAAGTTGAGTGAAAGTAGATGGCACACATGGTCCCTGTTGGTGTTATTGTCCCCTGGATGACAGGAAAGGAAGTCTTCCAGGAACCCTGCAACATTCCATTTGAGCATACCCAAACCCTCGCGCTAAAGGTAAGCTTGAGGCTTCTTGAGTAATTGTGCCATCTGCTCTAACCCAGGTGCGCCATCTGCTTTCATCCAGGGTTGTCCATTTGGCATCGTCTCTGAAACAAGTTCGGCACAGCGATGCGTCCATGAGCAAATCTGCACTTTTCGGAGCCCTGTTACAACCAGGTCTGAAAGGGGCCAACCTTTCACGAAGCTGGGGCTCGGCTGAAGATGTTGTGGACGCGGTCGTGGCGGAGCTCCAGAGCGATCCAGTTGGCGACCCCGTGCTCCTCCTTGGCCTGGGCAATGACCTCGAGCGAGCGATAGGAACCATATGGATGATATATGGGGTGTGTGTTTGGAGGGGGCCCTTGTCGGGGTTGGCTTCAGTGAAGCCAAATGCAATGGTTCCCAAGATTGTGATTCAACGGAAGTACAAACTGGCAACTTACTCGGAAACACCCAAAAGAAGGTCCAGCAAAATATGCTGGTTTGTTTAATGTGCTACTGCGCTGCACACAAATCTATCAATATGGCTTCAAATTTAGGGAACCCTCAAACACCAGTGCCATTCCCAAAAGCATTCTAAATCTCCAAGCTGGGAAATAAAAGATAGAATGATGCAGAATGCATTCTGTGTTGGAATTTGATTTGCGTATTCGATACTTCCAACGTCTGCAACAAACTTGAAACGTAATGTAGCTCCTGCCTTGCTGCTTACCATGCTCATGGGTGCAAATCCAGATGTCCGATCTGCCGCGTGGAAGCGGACGAAAAACCAGACGGCCATCCAGTGATATCCAGTCTTCCAAAGTACATGTATCTATCTATCTATATCTATATCACTCGCTATATATATATATATGTTTGTGAATGTGCGTTTCCCTCTTCAAAAGGAGCCTGATGTTTAGGACCAGCAAAGTGGAAGCACGCTGCACCCTGTTCTGGTATGCTTGTTGCAAACCTGCGGTTGGCCTCGCTTCGGCAGACTCACCTTGATACTCCCCGTGCCGAAGCCGGCTTGGGGTCCGGGCCCAGTCCCCATTGCCCGCGCAAATCTCCAGCTTCTGCGGCAGCTTGGCGAGCTCCCTGTGCCCAACAAAGAGAATGACGTTTCAGCGGCCCAGTGACCTTTGGTTCTAGTAATGCAGTCGTTGCTGAAAAACCCTACGCCTTACTACAGCCCCTCCTATACTCAAATTGCCACCGAGGGTTTTGGGCGTTGCTCGGTCTGTCTCAAATGGGGCAACCCCGAGATGGCTAGTTTATGATTGGTTGGTTTCCTTTTCGGGCAACCTCACAAAAACACCGCTTTCGGCGTGAATCTTACTTGGGGACCTTATTTAGATGGGAGTTTATATCCTCCAACCAAATTTGCAGCCCCCCCCCCCAAACAAAAAGAAGAATAATAATCAGCATAATAAATAATCAACATAAAGAACAACATTGCCGTTTGAGGCTGTTCCGCCGCGAATATTGCATGGGAGACTCCGTGGGCTGGTGGTATCCCCAACAGCCCCGCAGAACATGCTGGAACCCTCCGGAATCCTCCCTGAAAGCCGCCCCAAACCACCCCAAAGCCTGTCAGGGCAGAGAACTCATGGCACATGCACAAACCTCCAACAAGAAGCCCCTGCTGAATCCTATTGTCAAGACACCCCGTATTTACATAGAACCAGGCGCCAGCTTTCCTCCTGCCTGCCCCACGTCCGGCCAATCCGCATGCGCTGGCCCTTGAAGCAGCGCTGCAGCGCGGAGAGCACCTCATCCCGGCCTGGAACGAGCGAGGAAGGCGGCATCGCTTCAACCTGTGATCTCAGCGGGAACGGACCCCAAACTGGGTGGTACGTATTCTTTTGGTTGGGTCGTCATTCGGCACAAATCTGAGAGGACCTCATTGCGCAAGGAGCGTCCCTTTTTTTAGGACGGTTCAAAAATTGCCTTTCAGCGCAACGTGAATTCAAACAAGTTGCACCCAGCAACTAGCTTTTGAAGGGAAAGCAAACAAACCCAGCCACTCTGGGGTGTTCAACAACTACCAACGAAAAACAAATTGCGAAAACCGCTTTAAATCAGGTTTAACCTGGGACAATATGGAATAAAACCAATACTGAGGCAGTCTCTGGGGCTTCCTGATTTTAAGATAAACTCCACGAACTCTGTCACCAATTGCACAAAAGCGCGGCCCTTGGGGACAGTTGCCCTCTCAGGTCCCATGGTGCCTGGCTGCGTGCCCAGGCCGAAAGCCATCAGCTCCTCGCAAAGGGTGGCCGGGTCATCCGGGCCAGGGCCTCGGGGGGCCAAGGCTGGTTTTCCTCATCTCCGTAGGGTGCCCTTCATTTAAAAACGTTGCCAACAATTAGGGGGACAAGCCGATACTTCAGCACATGGGCTGATTGGGGAGAAACAAGGACTGTTCTGAGAGTCTAAAGGATTAGAGACGCACGCCGGCCGGGTAGCCTTTCCACTGCCCTTTGGAAACAACTTGTTGAAACAGGACCATCCCTTCAAGTGCAAGCAAACACTGAGCCAGGTTCGAAAGCCAAACTCCTTACAATCCGCAAAACGATGGTTCAAGACATTCCCATCGAGGTCGAACATATTCTTGGGCTGGCACATTACATAAGGGGTGGGATTTCGCATGCAGCGCCTTGCCAACAAGTCAACATGCCAAACCTCCAGTGGCCATGGAAAAAAGGGCACCCCAACTATTTTGGTAGAAACAGGGGCCTGGCCGAAACAAACATCGGGACGAAGACGCACCGGGCTGGAACAAAGACGCGGCGCCGAAGCCCGACCGAGGCGCCGAAAAGGAAGGTCCGGAACAAATGGCCCAAAAGCTCCGGCGCCAAAGCCCTCTCGGCGAAGTCGCGGATGCGTTGAGCCTCTCCTTGGAGCCAAAGCAAAGTAGATATAATATAATACACATATATATATATAGGTATGTTTTCTTGATGTGCCCGCGCCGAGAAGTTGATATAGGTATGGTTCGGGGTATGGCTCGCGCGGCTCTGAATTCTTGTTTTGCAATTTACGCTGCCAAGCAGATAGCTGCAACAAACCGAGCCGCTCAGTTGCCACAGCTAGCCTCTGACGCTGCCAAGAACGGGGTGAACTGCAGTCGCCAGTGCGTGCTCTGCGGACCAGCTCAGACAACGGCCAAGCCCTGTTTTCGCTTAGCAGTTCCTGCTTGGAGGGGCGAGATGTCCGTCACAAAAAGCTTTCAAAGCAGTACACATACCAAAGCCGAGCGCGCAAGCCCACCCCTTGACGAAGCAGCGAAAGCGCACTTGGGATAAACAGCCGAAGTAGCCAAGCAGCTCGGGCGAGCCTGTGCGCTTTCAAAACGCCAGTAAGAGTAGAACACTGCTTGGGGACAGACAGATTCTTGCGTCGCCCGCAGGACAGGCCCTAGTTGCATACTCTTAGCTAAGGCCTTCAAGCAGGCTTGCAAGGTCAGCAGTTCTTGAGCGCTTTTCTGATTTTCGGGGGGTATGGTTCGGTATGATTCGGAGTATGGCTCGCCCAGGCCCCCCTTCCGCGTAGACTACAGAATGGGCACGGCAAAAAAATACAGACCCATATATGTAGAATATAATATATATGTATATATATATATATATATATATTAATAATACAATAATAATAATATGTTGCTTTCTTAGACGGACGCATTTTTGGGTTGGTTTTGGAGGGGCCAGTGGGTTTGGGGCTTCCCCTTTTTGAAAGCAAGCTCATGTGGGGTTGTCTCAAAAACAAATGAGGCCTCCAAAATAGGCAATTTCCGACCAAAAGTCCCACTGTCGTTGCGCAAAAAAGGTCCGCAACCAAATGCGCACCGCAATTGAAGTCCTCACCCAGCTGCTATGTAGCTAGCGACGTTGCTTGCTGCTTCATACACAGGTTGTCATCCAAGAAAGGGACAATGGTTCTGGTCTAAAACGTGCCCTGTCCAGCATGCTATCACATCTGTGCACGGAGTGGGGGCTCCCCCCTCAGAGGGGGGCACCCACGACACCCGAATTTCTTGAGTTATTTCTCTGCCGAAACACCGGGATACAGCTGTAGCAGGTAGCCCCGAAGATTTTTTGCGTAGCAATGGTAGGTGAAAGACAGCAAGCTCACTGCCCAAGACCTGCTGAGAGGTTGCATAATACGTTGGACCAAGGAAGTGATGTCTTTAAGTCAGCGTTGCAAGCCGCGCACCTCAATGTCGTAAGCTTTGCCGAAGTAACCAAAAGCATCGTCGCCATAAAGCTCTAGCAGTAACACTCCTAATGCTTCACTTTCTCCTTAGACTTTCTCAAAGGTAGCAGGACGCGCACGAAGATTTTTGGTAAAGCGACAGGTGCCTCGGGCCTTGGCGACGGGGCCTCATGTGACGACAGGCCGGGGTGCTGCGCAGCTCCTCTTGGCTAAGCTGCTGGAACAGACCCCTGGTATCCTCGCCGATGCACTCCTCCAGAACAACGCAACGGCTGGGCTATGAGCCAAAGACCCAAGGAGCCCAACGAGCCCCTCAGCTTCAGCACGTAGTTCCCCTCAAAAGTTGTTGGTTTGCCGGGGCATCTTACAGCATCAACCTGGTTTCCTTCAAGGAACAGGTGGGTTGAAACAACAACCCCGTGGACAACCCTTGTATTCTTATGCCCTAGTATCGGTCAGTCTCGGTTTTTTCCTCAGCATCGGTTTGCAGTGTTTTGGCAGCTCTAGCTCGAAAGTCGCAACTTTTCAGTGCAAGCGTAGTACACAAAGTACATTTTGGTAGCTCCAGCTGGACAGTCGCAACTTTTCAGCACAAGCGTAGCACACAAAGTAGCTCCGGCTGGAAAGTCGAAACTCTTCAGTACAAGTGCAATACACAAAGCACATTTTGGCAGCTCCAGCTGGAAAGTCGCAACTGTTCAGTAGTATACGCAGCTTTGCAGTGCAAGTAGATGTAGCATGGTGTAGTATAGTGTAGTATAGTGTAGTATACGAAGTACGCTTTGGCAGCTCCAGCGCGGAAGTCGCAACTTTTCAGTACACATGTAGTACACAAAGTACATTTTGGCAGCTCTTTTTTCCAGGGAAGGCTGCAGGGCAGCTGGTTGGATTCGGCATGGCGCCTAATGAATTGGGTATCGGTTGGGTATCGGTTTGGGTATCGGTTTGGGCCCTGCAAATTTATGACTCCGCAATCTCGGTTTGCGATAACAACTTGGACCTGATGTGTGTCTTCAGGGCTTCTGGGGGCATCGTGTTTTTTCTTCTTTTTTCCCCCCTCTGTATCGGTTTACAATGGTTTTGGCCTGAAAAACAAGCTAAGGGACGGCCCCTTACATAACGAAAAGGCGCGGTTGTTTTTTCAGCCCAGGTGCTGGACACGTCTGGCATTCTGCTCACGGAAAGTCAAGGCTCTAAACTGACACCCTCCAAGCTGAAGACGCGCGAAAACTTGCGGCAAGAGCAGAGCGTATGGCGGAATGCTTGGAGGCAAGCGGCGCACAGCTGTTCCGGCAGGCCTGCCAGACAAGTCTCCAAATCTCTTGCCCCAACGAGCAGTCTCCAAACATGAACTAGCATCCGGCTTCGGGAATGACAGACCTCTTATACTCTAATGCTGGTTGCTTGAGTTCCAGACTCATAGTTGGGGCAACCAGTTCCAATGGTCCAATGGTTCAAATCCAGAACTTTGGGCCGGGCAGTGGCTTCTGTGTCGCAGATCAGTTTTGCCCACTTTGATTCAGCGACTTCTGAACGTTTGAAGTTGGCTTGGTTTAGGACTATTATTATAGTTATTTTCTTCTGGCTGTCGAAGCCAAGGGCGCTGTCCGTTGTCAAAAGGAGCCTCGCATCAGCCCAACAAAAAACAGCGCAGGCCTTTCGATGCACCCCTGGGCATCTCAAGGCCCGTTTGACCCGGAAACAGTTTTCTCAACTTGCATGTGTTACAGCATCTGTCAGAGGTCTGGACCATTCGCAACCCAAGACCGACATCGAGCTGCGTTTTAGATGCTCCCCTTGGTGCGCGACATGCTGCTTGCCCCCAACGGAACATGGCTATGTCTTTTTCAGGGACCAACCAGAAAGGGGCGACCCTCCATTAAACAACAAAAACACATCACCGTTGCCATCGGCTCCTCCGCACGCTGCAGAGCTGCCTGGCACACCTTAAAGCGGCCCAGCATCGCGGCCGCCTGCGCCAGCGCCAAGTTCCTGGCGTTCTTCAAGAAGCCCGGGGTGTGACTTAAGGGGTTTCCACCTCCGTGAGGCATCTTCAAGGAGTCTGTTCTCAATGTGAAAGATGTCCCACAATAAAGCAGGGATTCTACTTACCCTTACAGCGCTTGCGAAGCCATCCAAGGATTATTGAGCTCTTGTTCAAAATATGTCCCCGCCTTTTCCCGATCCCTCTGCAGCCGAGGGTCATGGTGGCTATGGATGTCCTCCGCTCCTGTTCCAAGTTCTCCTTCGAATCACTCGGCAAAATCGTGCGATTCAAACCGAGCTCGAACCCAATCAAATTCACACTCATACTACAACAGCCCAACACAATAGGTCGAAGGCATCTATTGTCTTAAGTCTTAAGCCAACTTGCCGAGAAGTGCATCCCCATTGTTGTTAAATCCCGGAGCTCGGCTTGGCCCACCGTCCTCATTGGCCGGCGTGACGCTGGGATCGTGGTAGAAGGTGCAATTGACGCCCTGCCGGTAGAGAATGCAGCAAGCTCAGCGCGGAGATTCTGAGGCAGGTGCTATGTGTGATGATGCGCCATGCGCCTTCGCCACTCCTTCACCAGGACAAGATTCATCTAGGTGAATTGGAATGCTTGAAATTAAAATAACGGAGCGCCCCACCACCCATTGCTGCCAGAAAAGAAGAAATATGTACAAACATGGTTCTCCTGTAAAACTAGGGGGAATGACAAACTCATCTTAAGCACATGAAGGGAATGTGCCTCCCCTTGGACTTTGTTGGGCAAATAGGGGTATTGTTTCTTCCTAAGGGAGAGCCCTGGAAACAGCAAAGGCTACCCCAAACCACAAGGGGATAGCCCGTCCGTCCAGAAGGTTTGGGTTGGTGATCCACATTTGAGAGACAAAAACAACTAGAAGGCTGCCAATGAAGAGACGTTGTTTACTGTAGTCGTTGTTGGAGTTAGCCACAAACAGATTTATCAGTTCACCTTTCATACCGCCCCAAAAGTCGCTGGCACGCGTTTCTAAACCTCACCTGGGGTACGCCCAAAATGGAACCGCTCCCAAAAAGAGGGGAGCCACTAATTTGCACCAGGGGTTCCTGCCCTAGGCGCCCTTTCAAACAAATAAATCATCTAGGCGGAGTCTGCTGATAAATAAGTAGAATCAACATGAAACCCGTCAAACCCATTTGGGTATCTCTCCACGGTGAAAACCTCTGGTTGGCGAAGGGAGACACATGCAAAGCACCCATTTGGGACCACTATTTTGTGAAAACCATTGCAACCAAATGGAAACCAGACAGGGCGCATGTTAGACGCCTGTGTGTCAAAAGTGGCCCCGACCCCCCTCCGCAAAAACAACAAAACAAAATACAAGGCAAGGAAAGAAAAGAACAAAGTTGCAATTTGAGCCAAGCAAAAACGTACCCGCTACAAACATTGTTCTCTACATCCAAACAGATGGTCCCCGGTAGCGCGCGCGGGCTCCCTCGCTCCTTGCTGCACCTGCCAGCAGCCCAGAACTTGCACACGTCCGGCGCCCGCATGGCACGCTCCTTCTGCCCTGGCACCTTCCTGAGGAAATGTCACCAGCGACGCTTCAAAATACGGGACCCTTTTTTTCCTTGCCGAAGGGAAACCACCAATTTCGAGGGTACCCCTGCTTTGAGACACGCGCACACACACACACACCCATGCGCGGCTACTCCAATGGACAGAAAATGAGGGCTCCGGGTCCCGGGAGATTCGTACGCTTCGGTGCTTGTGAAACTAACGCCATTCTGCATGCTTGTTTTGTGGAAAAAACAAAGTCGCCATGTCCCTTCCGAATCAACCACCGGTGCCCTTCCCCCAGTTAGACGAGCATCGGCCGAAAAGGACCGGACTGGAACAGGTTTCAGCTAACAACCAACATAGATTCTCCAAGCCGAATCTGCTTTATTAAGAATGGGGAGAGCGTCAGTGTTACGACTAGCTGAACGGGTTGAGCAAAACCAAACCAACTCTCCCCCGCCGAACCGCCCAGACCGCTTTCCTCGCGAGGCTCTGCATCAGTTGCTTCAAGTCCTTGATGCAAAGCGCCTGACCTAGGATCTGCGCCATGTACCGCAGGCTGGTGTAGTCGGGGATGACGCCCCACCTCGGACCGCGGATACCCGTGTCTCGGCTTTTGGAAACGGATACCCAGATACCCGCGGTCCGGTGGTCTGCTTAGTTTGTGGAAACTTTGTCCGCCAACCCAGGATGTACTCCTACTGAAGGGCTAGAAATAGGTGTCCGAGGCGCACTCTGGACAAATGCAAAACTAGCCATCCTTATAGCTTGAGGTGGAGGGTACGACAAGGACAACTCATGGATTGTTTCACACCCAGATAAGGATTCTGCCATGGGAGTGGCCAAGTCATGCGATGTCTCCGGCCTACTGTGCTTCCTCGAGACCAAAGGGCGCAGAAGTGAAGCCAAAGGCACACAGAACAAGTAGCCCATGAGGCGGTCCTGTCAGAAGACAAGCCTGAAAAGATTGGTCCGGACTCCGGTTGGATTGGCTGTTTGCTTGGGTGACCATGATCACCTTGAAATGGCTTCTAACAATCTGTTCTAGGCTGATGTGCGCATGATTATCCTGTGGTGCAAGCTGGAACCCAGATGAAACCATTTAGGGCCCCCTGATGTACTGAAGCCATGTGCGCGAGTGGCTGGCTGTCCATCTGGTTGAAGACCTCCTTTGCCAGTGCCACCTGGCCATCCCCAGAATTTCATGGGCGAGCCGAAACCCTCATGGATTCGTCTGGGATGGCTTCTACAAATCGCCGGCATCCAATCCGATGGCTTGAGATCCTCGTAGCTTCAGGGAGAGCCTCAGTTCCCTTTGTCTAGCCCATCAGCGAACAATAGGACTACAAGTGGAATTCCCGGTCTCGAACTTGGCCTCCGTTTAGCCTCCCCCCACCCAAAAGCAAGAGCAACACATACGGCCAGCTCAAGCAAACAAACTCGGCGACGCCCGTTTGGCGGCCATCGCGAGCTTCGGCAACGCCTGCCCATGGTGCAGGCATCCCCGCAGGAAGGTGTTCATGGCGCGGGCATCGGGCTGCACCTTCTCCCGCTGCATCTCGTCCAACAAGCCCCGGGCTTTGCGGAGGTTGCCGGCCTGGCATCCCAAAGAACCCCGAACCAAAACATACTAAAACAACTGGCTGATTCAGGATTTGTCACCCCTGTTTTGCGGAGGTTGCCGGCCTGGCATCCCAAAGAACCCCGAACCAAAACATACTAAAACAACTGGCTGATTCAGGATTTGTCACCCCTGTTTTTTGTTGACAGGGATTAATAAACCCTTGGTTGATGTGCATCACTACTCCTATGAATCCACCATATTGATTTATCGGTGTCGACCGCAAGGAAAACCCGTGGGTTGAGCCCCCTCGTACCTGGTACACACCAAGGAAAAAGGTACAGCAAGGGTCCTTTTCGCGGAGGCGCCCCACCCCGCCACCCCCCTTCCATACACTGAGCTGGATGGCCTGGCTGTAGCCCCGCAAAAGAATGGTGAAAATGCCTCGGAGCAGTCCATCCGGGCTGCAATCCACAAATCCACGCAACCCACATCATGCTTGCGTGCTTGATTTTATTCCTTTCTTGCTTCGCCCCTGCTTTTGATTGTTTTGCTTGCTGTCCCTTGTGTTCCCTTCTTTTCCCTTGCTCCCTTGCCCTTCATCGTGAGCTCGATTTATCCCGGAGGTGATCTCCCAACTAGTTCGAACAGTGTGCACACGAATTTCGGGTCGGCCTGCTGAACCACAAAGGCAACAAGTTGTACAAAAATCCCAGCCAACTAAAATCAAATTTGTTCAACCAGCAAATGAACATTCCTATTTCAAATGCTCATTCATTTGCTTGTTCCAGCTCGGGCGGCCAGAAACATGTATGTGGAACGCTCCTACTTTGCGCCGAACACCAAAGAATATGATCCCGCTATGCACAAACACAACCGATTTGACCCCTGGCTCGACATAGTCGCCGTATGTCGCCGTGCTGCCATGCTTTGCAACATTGGCATTTATCCTCGAGGAGACTCCTCTACAAGTAATGTTTCTTGGGGTTCCATGCTGATCTGCAGGGGGATGTTTGGGTTTCCCTCCCTCTCACGAAGGTGCAGCCTGAGGGAATTTCCTGGGAAATAACAAAGCGCCCTAATCAACTAGAACAACCTGAGCTAGTTTGCCCAGATCCATGCCCAGTTGCCCAGTGACACCGGCAAACAAAGGCAACGCTGTTTGGTGCCTCTTTTTTTTTGTGGTGGGGGAAGCCACCACAAGAAAAGGGAAAGGAGGTCGGAATCCACCATACGAGCCTATGGGGCGACTCGACCCTCTGACGCTTTCTCGTCCGAGCTGCTGACATTGGGCTTCAGCCTCCTCTGGCGCATGGCCTTCCAGGGTTGGTTGAACACATTCTGCCCAACCTGGCTTCCCCCTTTCAAGGGCGCCAGGAACTTCAAATGATACGCTGCTACGCTTCTTTCTTTCTCTTTGAAGACCAGGGGGTCCGTTGGTCAAACACCGCCTTGAGGGCCGCTTTGGCGCCCTTGAGGTCACCGCTGCGCACGTGCACGTTGATGAGGCTCGAGAAGGTGTAGACGCTGGGCTCCAGGCCTTCGAGCCTCAACCAGCCCCAAAACGATAGCAGGCGTGCCCTAAAAACTATGCAAGCTCGTTCCGCACAAACAAAAGCCCTTCAAAGTGAAACAATCAAAGCAGCCAACCGAGAAAACACATATAAAAAATGAAGGCTCCAGCATGGGGAAGCCAAGCGTCAAACAGTCAGGGCTGACAACCGACGGTTTGGGTGGGGGGCTTCAAAGCAAGATTAATCAGGTACCAACACTAGAATCCAAACTGGGATCCCCTGCTGAAAGTTTAACTTTTAGTTGATTTAATGGAAACCCCCCCTAACCCCTAAGAAGCTAAAACGCGGAGGGGATGGCTGACCAAGCAAAATGGCTGTTTGTTCCAAGGGCCGGCTATGCATTCCAAAGAGCTCAAATTGCCCGAAGACCTCCAAGGCCTTTGTCAGCTGCTTCTCTCGCGCCAGTTCGGCGATCTTCTTCGTGAGGGCCTGCACGACTCTGTGGTCCGCAGTCCACATGAAGGGCCCCAAAATTGCAAATGAACCCTGGAATCCAACCTGAACCTCTGACGCTACATACACCCTCCCGTCAAAGGGGGTCGTGGGGGGTTGGGGGCTTGGCTGAGGAACCTGCCAAACGGCACGAGAAATCTCAAGCGTTGTCGCTATGTTCAGTAGGATCTGAGAAAATGACACCCTGGTTGATCCAAAACGACGTCTGTAAAACAATTGTTTCGTTCAAGTGCGAAGGCGCTGGAGGTACGTGGGTGTCAACCACCAGGGACCTTCCACGATCAGCCAAGGAATGGAATCTTCACGTTTCTGAGTTGTCACTGCGCACGGCATTTCCGTCGCGACCTTGATATCTGCAGGGTTCATGTGAAACAAACCTCACCTGAATCCCGAAATCACTCGGCACGTGGGCGGGTGCAAACTCTGATGCCGCCCAGCGGGCGGCGATGGACGATGTCTAAGATGGATGCCTTGAGCTGGCGGTTTTTCGCGAGACGCAATCAGCCTCCAAGCTGCTTGCATGCCTACTAGCTACGGCCCGAGCTCTTAAAACTCAATCCAACATTCGCAGCTCTGCATGGTGACCTATTATCAACAATCATGGCCACAAGAGACCAACCCTTGTGGTGATCTCTGTGGAGTTGCCTGCCAGCCAAACCATTCAAAACTAGCCGCCCTGCCCTGCCTGAGCCTTAGCGTCGCTCTTCTGCAGCTTGACAACGCCTTGCGCAAGGCTTGCGCAATTTGTTATGCTTTGTTTACGACATGCAGTCTGTGACGCTGAAAGGAACCTGCCTGACGCCAGCTTGATCCGAACACTTGCTGCTGTAATCCCTCAACATTCAGGGTTCCCCCTTTCTGCCTAGGCAGTTTGATGAGAACCAACCATACCTTCTTTTGCCGTAACAACTCAAGCACCTCACGCACATGCAGCGTCCGCCAAGGTACCGTCACAGGAACCACGGCAAGCAGCAAGTCTTAGGTCCAAGTAAGTGTGTTCACCCTCCCTGCCCTGTCAATGGAGCAATCCCTTTTCTATCAAGCATCTTGCACATAACACATTCCACGTTTCAGCACGTGCTGGCACGCCTCGTCCACCGCCCTCGCCGCGACCGCGGCCCCGCATTGGCGGCATGCCATTGCGACGCTCAAAGCTTGAAGCAACGACTGCGCTCTGCACACCCCATATGGGCAAACATGGGATTCCCGGCAGGCTACTCGGCCATTGGCTGGAGCTAGGGGCCGGTGCCTCACCCGCCCCCAGGCAGTATCACAAATTGAACCGCACCAATCGGCAAATCATACATGAACAAAGGGTGCTCCGGCACCTCGCAGCTAGATGTTGGGTGGGCCTGGTGCTTGTATCTCAGCAATTCTCAAGCACCGTGGCTGCAATAGGCACCCCAATGACACCTCCTCCCAAGCCATCCTCAAGTCACACTCCATCTGCACGTTCTGAGAATCTGAATCCCACCGCGAAAACTCCTCCCTGAAGGGGAGGCTGAAGGGATCTTTCTTGTGCACCGTCAGTCTATGGGTGGAAGAACATACCTCTTATTCATGCCCCTTGGCTTCCTTGGCTTCTACCCACGATCATAAGACGTCTATACCCCCCTTGAGAGAGAGGGGTATGAACATCAACAAGCCTTTTGCGGTCATTTACCCAAGGTGTATGCACAAACACTCCCAGAGCCAGGGTCCTCAAGGCATGGACCGTTCCAGCTGCCTGGCTTGGGCCGTCGGCTCAGGCCAACCGCAATCCGCCAACCCAGCCTGCCTTTACCAAGAGGTCCGAAGCCATCCGCACTCGCTCGTAAAGCTGCTCCCACCACCTCCCCCCGCTTGCTCACTGGTCAACGTTTGCCTTCCCAAAGGAAAGCTTTGGGGGGTGGTGCCTTTTAAGGATCCTATCATGAATCACCAACGCCCATTCGGGCCACTGGGGCCGCCCAACTGTCCAGAGCGGCTTTCAGGGATGACTCCGCGGAAGATAGGCCTCGCAAAGCAAATTGCCAAGGCGAGGTACGACATAAATCTCTACATGTACATGCAGAACAATTTATGCATGTGTTGCTCAGTTCGTCAAAATTGCCCTGTGGGCTTCGTCGGGGTCAAGGGCGGCTTGGTGGCGCATGGGTTCTCAAAAGCCGCCAACCCCAACCTCTGCTAAGAAGTTTGCCTTCAGGTCTTCTGGGCGCACGTTCTGCCAGGTGAGCAGCGCACACCTCCCCTCACCCCGCCCCCTTTGATTTGGAGGGAGCTTCCCTAAGGCGCCCTAAGGAAGCGCAAGGAACCCGAAGGAGCTTCAAAAACTTGAGCTCCGCCTGCTGGGACCGCCCCGCTGAGCATGATTGCAGGTTGCGCCTAAAAGAAGGTCTTTGTTTGCTTGCTCCACTTTGCACTTTGTGTCACCGATTTAACGCAACATGCACCCTAACTTTACACGAGAGATATTGACCTCTTGGTGTTCTGCCGCATCGTACTTAGCGGGCATGTCAACGATTCTGAGCATCATTCCGTTGACCGAGTCCCTGAAAATACATCCCGTTGGCGTGCTGGTGTCAAAAGGGGATCAGCTAAAGCAGGTAGCCAACCTGGGTTTTGCAAACGGGGATAAGCCACCTGTTCCCTTTTAAGGAAGTAAACAGCTCTGGAATCATGGTCAAATGGCCATTGGCAACTCATTAGGGTACCCCTGCAGACTACTGGAACCACAAACCCTCATCGGAGCATTAAAAAAGATCTCCCTTTTGGGATGCGCGTTCATTTGCAGGGAGTACCAACTGGCAATTGGGGTTCCCTAGCTAAACATCACCCCAACGGAAACTCACTCCAATGCGACCCACAAAGTCACGCAAAGACCACCCAGTTTGGGGAAGAGCGAGCTTTGTCAAGAGGAAGGTAGCCGAAACCCTCCTGTCCCCTGCTTGGAAGGAGGATATATAAACCAAAGTCTGATTGGAAAATATTGAAACCTAGATGCCCTTTCGCAAGAAAAACATGGCACCGCATTGAAACCAGTGCCACCTATGTTCCATCAAGCTCACCTAAAAAGAACACCCCTGTCTGCAAGTCCTACGTCCAAGCGCCCCAGCGCTGAAGCTCGGCGCTCTTGATGCGGAGATCCCGGGCCTCGTGAATGGAATCTATGCTGCACATTGGCCTCCGAGGGGTAGAATCTGTGCATATCCCCGGGTCGAAGCACATGCCCAGGTTGGCCGTTTTTGCGGGGTGCCCGGTTAGGGGAGATTCACCACTTTTGGAGGGGAACACCGCTCTTTTGATAGGCCTGGTTTCCTAAAGTTCCTTGATTCGACAAATACCCGTGTTACACAAGCCACCCGCCAACTAATCAACCTCTAAAGCCTTCAAAGAACCGTTGGATTCACATGTGTGCCCATCATGAAGAAAATGGTGTTGGTTCAATTGGACAACTTGCTCTGAATAGACTTCTGAAGAAGGAAGGTCCATCAACGGGGGTCATGAAGCCGCCGGTTAAAGCAAACAAACTGGCTTCCCCAGTCCCCGACGCCCCCCCCCCCCCCTCCCTTTCCACAAAACTCTGAGGGTCAAGGGGGGAAGGTTGGCTCCTACGATTAACCCCCCATAACCTCCCAAGGCTCTTGCTGCTTCCTTCTCCTGAGTCAAGGCCAGCTGGTTGGCCTGCCATTTCCGCTCAGGATACCGCTAGATGTGGGGGCCCGCTCTCGGAGGCTTGATCGATGTCGAAAAACTGGCAATTATCAGGGTCGTTTCAACAATACAAATACAACATACCGAATCGTATCGTTGCGTATTGCGAGCTATCGGTATCGAAAAGCAAGTATCGCAACCTCACATCGTATCGAAGACTATCGCTGCAAATCGTTTTGAATCATACCGATTTGTATCGGTTTCGGT